TTGCCTCCTGCTCCAGACATGCTTGGAGTGGTTTGAGAAGAATAACGCGAGCTTGGGCGCTAGAGCTTGAGTGTGCGGGAATGGGTAAGCGAGAAGGAAGAAGGCGTGGGTGTATAAAGTAAATCTTTGTCCCTTTATAAGGGCGGAGGAGGCGATGAGTCTCCCCACTTGCCTGGCAAAACCGCTTATTCCCCAGGTGCCGCAATTGATGGCGCGGTTGGGTTACCCACGTCCGTATTGATGAGAATCCCGTGATAAGGGGAACACGATCTCTGATTTGACAAGACGTATCAAGAAAACCGCCTTGCGATATGTGCGGAGCTGGTTGAGAAAAAGCAGTTTGAATAATAACCGGGCCATGAAGTGATGTCATACTATCAAAACGTGTCAGCAGATTAGATTTGTGAAAGTATTATTCTCTCTACGGTGGTATGTGGAACTTATTTTGCAGGGTCGGACACTATCCTTGTATTCAAACTCTTCCATGGTGTATTCGGAGGAGGAACCCTCCTTATAATGCCGAAGACAACACTGCACGCCGGACTCATCGTCATTGAAGCCTAGTTCAGGGGCTACTAAGGGAGTCCTGGATTAGGGGGTCTCCGGACAGCCGGACTATATCCTTTGGCCGGACTGTTGGACTATTAAGATACAAGATTGAAGACTTTGTCCCGTGTCCGGATGGGACTCTACTTGGCGTGGAAGGCAAGCTAGGCAATACGGATATGTATATCTCCTCCTTTGTAACCGATCTTGTGTAACCCTAGCCCCCTCCGGTGTCTATATAAACCGGAGGTTTTTAGTCCGTAGGACAACATACAATCATACCATAGGCTAGCTTCTAGGGTTTAGCCTCTCTGCTCTCGTGGTAGATCAACTCTTGTAATATTCATATCATCAAGAATAATCAAGCAGGACGTAGGGTTTTACCTCCATCAAGAGGGCCTGAACCTGGGTAAACATCGTGTCCCCTGCCTCCTGTTACCATCCGCCTTAGACGTACAGTTCGGGACCCCCTACCCGAGATCCGCCGGTTTTGACACTAACAACTGCGGTGGCTCTAGGCCGCGGTTCGTGTACTTCCGGGCGGCTCGCTTCCTCTCGCCGTCGGCTTTGACACACCGCTGCCGCTCGCAGTTGTCGCTACCGCCGGAGTGGTGGCCCGAGCTTCACATCCCGCACCACATGGTGGAGTGTGGTGGCCGATTCGAGTCATCGATGGCGAGAAATCGAGAGGGGAGAGGGGGGATTGTGGCGGTGCGGGGATAGGGTTTCGCCCCGTATACTCACCGCAAACCCGTAGATATACCGGGGGGCGGTTTGCGAGCCACCGTAAAATCATTTACGGGCCAGGCGACTATACAGACTATGGTATAGCCCAAAAACGGATCAAACTCATATAGTCACTGGATTTTTATAGTTTGTGTCTTTTTAAGGAGTCTGTTAGAGATGCCCTTATACCCCTTAATGACAAGTAGGAATTTGGAAACATTCAAAAAGATTGTAGCTTTGTATCCCCTAGTGGTACAGTAAGAGGATCCTATGTTGTATACCAGCCTGCCACCAAAGTCTCTAGCGGTAGGCAATTTATCCACGTCGGCGCTGTGCAGCCCTACCATCAAATACTGGTGATAGCCTGTGTAACCCTACCGTCGAGGTGCCTGACGGTAGATGCGTGATACTTATATTTTTTACGACAGGACGTGCGATCCTACCGCCATCAACCCCGGTCATAGGAAAAGGGTCAGATATCGAAAAAATTCAAACCAGAGTCAAATCTGAATTAACTTTCGCAAAAAGGATCAAAACACTAAACTTATTCGTGGACAAATGCCAGTGTAAATTTTCGCGGATGTAGATGCAGCGGAAGCATGGGGCCGCCTACATCTGCGAAAATTTGCACATGCCGCCTGTCATTCAACCGAAAGAGTCAGTCATGATGGGCTTCGTAGCAGCCATGTGCAATGGTCTGAGCATCCAGCAACTGATTTGTAATTATGCAGATTACCTCTTAATAGTACTGCCACACTTAAAATAAAAAATTGCCTTCATGTAGGGCTGGAATTCGAGCCGAGTCGAGCCAACTCGGCTCGACTCGCTAAAGCTCGTTTCATTAACGAGCTAACTCGACTCGACTCGTTACTATAACGAGCTCGAATCCAAGATTGGCTCGACTCGTATAACTCGCGAGCTGGCTCGTTTAGCTTGTTAAGCTTGTTAATGATATGAACACAAAAACTTATGAATATGATAAAATTGATTACTTGGGAATGTAAAATGTACATATTAAACATCTACAATGTTCGCGAACAATGGTAGGGGAGTTCAACTTACAATTGTCAGTACGTACCATCAAGTCAGTACCATGTACATGACCATTGACCATAAACAATTGTACATGACCACAATGATCAGCAAGTTAGTAACATATACATGACCAAACAATTGTAATTTCCTTGAATGTCTAGGCATTGTGTTGTGCACTTGGAATGTACGGTGCTAGGCTAATCTTTTGTCCCGAGCCTAACGAGTTACACGAGTACTCGTGAGATCAGCTCGTTTAACTCGTTCTATATACGATTTTAAACTAAAGCTTGGCTCGACTCGTTATTCTTCGAGTTCGAGTCGATTCGAGCCGAGTCACGAGCTACTCGTTTAGCTCGCGAGCTTCGAGCTTTTTTTCCAGCCCTACCTCCATGCCATAATTTTTGTCGTAGGTTTCTTTTAGCTGATTTTTGCTGCACTACTAGTTCTTAGTTCCATTTACTCACTTACCCCAATGTTACTCACTTATTGTTCGCCAGTATTGTTTTCCTTGAGGGATCATCAGATAATATGTTGGAGTTGAAGAAAATTCTTAGGAGGTATGAGGAGGCCTCGGGTCAGTGTATTAACCTGCAGAAATCTTCTGTTTTCTTTGGCAGGGGCACTCAGGATGGTGTGAAAGGACAATTGCAAAATATTCTTGGTGTTCATAATGAGGCACTAGGTGAGCGATACTTGGGTCTCCCCACACTGGTTGGGAGATCAAAGGATGGTACGTTCAGATATGTAACGGAGTGCTCAAAGGGTAAGGTCAATGGATTGAAAGGCCAGGGGTTATCAAATGCCGCGAGGGAGGTACTCGTCAAATCCGTACTCCAAGACACACCAACTTATACTATGAGTTGTTTCCACCTCGCAAAGAAAATGTGTCGGAACCTGATTTCTATCTCGTCAAAATTCTGGTGGGGGCAACAAATGGTGATAAGAAGGTGCATTGGATCTCTTGGGAGAAGATGTGTGATGCCAAGCGGGATGGAGGCCTAGGTTTCCAGGATCTGGAAGTTTTCAACCAAGCTCTTTTGGCTAAACAGGCATGGAGGATTCTACAGTGCCCAATGTCATTGTGTGTTCGGGTTCTTACGGCGAGATATTTCCCGGATACGACGATTATGTCGGCCACTTACCCCTCGGGAGGATCGTTCACTTTTTGGAGTATACTTCATGGGCGTGATCTGTTGAGAGAGGGCCTTGTTTGGCGGGTTGGTGATGGAACAAGGATAAATATACACTACGACAACTGGATTCCGAGAAGCCGAAGCATGCGGCCACTCGGAGCTGTTTTTGTACAGGGGGTAACTAAGGTGGCCGATCTCTTGGTGACTGCTGGCGACGCATGGGACAACACTATAATTGATGACATGTTTTCGTCGGATGATGCCTTAGACATTAAGCAGATTGCTATAGGTGGGTCGGCGATGGAGGACTGTCTTGCATGGAACTACACGAAGAATGGGGTCTTCACGATGCGCTCGGCTTGTCATCTGAGAATGACCATGAACAAGCTGAAAACCGGACAGCCGAAATCAACAAGTTCAGTTAACAAACATCAAGGGTACCTGGGCCTTTGGGATACCAGCGCACCAAATAAAGCCAAGATTCATATGTGGAGAGTCATAAGGAATGGGTTTGCTGTAGGCGCGGAGCTGCTGCGTTGGTGAATTAAACCAGGAGTGTTCTGCGTCGTTTGTGGACGGGAGGGGACTATCATGCACAGATTCTGGTCTTGCCAACATTCAGTCCAGTTTTGAAACCAGTTGCGTTCGGAAAAGGGAGTCACGGTGGCAGCCCCGCCGAGCTTCACAGGCTCCCGGAGCGAACTGGCTAATTGGTTGCTTGGATGGACCGCTAAGGCTCAGGTGGATGAGCGGGAGGCGATAATCCATGCAGTGTATGCCATATGGCTGGCACGGAATGAGACAAAGAATGGCAAGAGAATTGATGGACCACATGAAATAATAGAGAGGGTTTGCTCTTTTATGAGAGAATGGCGGGAGGTTCATGAGAAGCCGGTCCAGGCAGCCAAACCCTCCGTAGTGCAGCGATGGATGGCGTCGGAGGAGGGGTGGGTCAAGGCCAGCACTGACGGTGCTACATCAAAGTTCGGAGGCAAGAGTGAAGGAGGAGTGGTGCTTCGAGACTATAACGTTGTTTTTCTTGCAGGAGCATGCCACTTCTTCCCTCATGTCGTGGAGGTCGAGGCTGCCGAGCTAAAAGCATGTAAGAGAGCTCTTTTAGTGGCTATGGAGATCAATGTTCAGAGAATTCACCTAGAGCTGGACAGCCAGGCTCTAGTGCAAATGATCAATAGCCTGGAGAGGAACTTGGCAGCGACTGGATCTTGGGTGGAGGAGATCAAGACCATGCTACGAACTTTTGAGGATTTCCGTGTTTTGTGGGTAAGGTGTTCTACGAATATTGCTGCGCATAAGTTAGCAAAAGTTGGTGTAGGAGAACTTTGTAAGGTGTGGCTTGGGTCACCTCCAGATTGCATTCTGGGCGTGATCGCAGACGAGATTTCAAACTTTGTTTGAGTTAATAATAGCGGCGACATTTACCTAAAAAAAAGTTCCATTACTTATAAGTCGTCACACGGATGGGGAAAAGCTACTGTACATTTGGTTCTTAACTCTCGCTACACCAACAGATTACGCATCAAGTGATTTTGCTCTGCAGTATTATCTCCCCACGATCGAAGAGCGAGAGTTGCCGCAATCCGAGGGATCCCAATCCAGCGTGGAGTTGTACACCGCCGACAGCGTCACGAACACCTCCTCCATGGAGGGCCGCCCTCTGGGCTCCCTCGCCATGCACCGCACCGCCAGCGACGCCACGGGGACCGCGAGGTCCAGCGGGTAGTCGCCGTTCAGCCGCGGGTCTATGAACGCCCGCACCTTGCCGCGCGTCCTCGCCGTCGACGACCAGCCCCTCCGAGGACTCCCACAGCAGCGTCTCCCCCCTTTTGTCGCCGCCGTCGAATGTCGCCTCTTTCCCGGACAGCAGCTCGAGGAGGATGACGCCGAAGGCGAAAACGTCGAGCTTGGGTGTGATGAGGCCGTGCTCCAGGTACTCTGGGGCCAGGTACCCCTGGGTGCCCACGACGTGGCGGGTGAGCTGCGCGTCGCCACCGTCGGCGCCCATGGGGACCGACCGCGCTAGCGCGAAGCTTGACACCTTGGCGCGGAGGTCGTCGTCGAGGAGGACGTTGCTGCTCTTGAGGTTCTTGTGCACGCACGGCGGGTTGGTGTAGTGATGGAGGTAGTTGAGGCCGTCGGTGACGTCGAAGGCCGCCTGCACGCGCTGCTTCCACACGAGGGTGGCGCCGCTGCCGTGGAGCCAGTCGCTGAGCGCGCCGTTCTCGGCTAACTCGAAGACGAGGTAGGTGTCGCCGTGGTGGACGCAGAAACCGGAGAGGCGGACAAGGCTGGAGTGGTTCACGCGCTTCAGGATGCCCACCTCGCCGCTCACATCGCCGGCCACCCGCTTCACGGCCGCCGCGTCGCCGTTGATCTCCGCGCGGTACACGGACGCGTTCTTGACCCTCCGATCCTCCGAGAATCCTGCCGTCGCCTTCTCGAGTTCCGAGTACTTGTACACGGTCAGGGACTCCACCGCCGCGCGCGCGTCGCTGGACACCAACGCTGATGAAGATGAGGAGGTCATCGTAGCTGCCGATGTATGCTTGCCGGAGGCAAGAGCGTCGTAATCCGCCGACGAGGGCACGTCAAGAACCACCTTGCTCCCGCGGCCCCTTTCCCCAACGCTTGGCCGGGGCCGCCGCCGGCGAACACATAACAACATCAGGCCAAGAAGGCCCGCCAGCGCAAGAACGCCGACACCAACACCGACCCCGACGGCAATCCACTTCTCGCTGCCAGACGCCCGCGGCTGCTGTGCCTGCGGTGGCGCCGGTGCGGGCGGCGGCGCCCGTGACACGAGCATGTCCGGCGTGGGCGCGCTCTTGAGCGGGATGAGCAGAGTGGTGAAGGGAAATATGATCTCGCTAGCGGTGAGGTTGTTGGCCTGGAGCACAGCCTGGGTGTCGATACGGAAGCGGTCCGCGATGGCCGAGACGCTGTCGCCCCACGTGACGAGGTAGGTGAGCAGGTGCCTGACCCCGGCGGCGGCCTGTGCCGGCGAGGGGCACGCCCAGCAGATCGGCACGGTGAGGTTGTTCCCGGCGACGAGGTCGCGGCTGCCGTGCCTGGGGTTCTGCGCGAGGAGCGCCTGGCAGAACTGGATGGTGTGGCTGGAGTTGTGCTGGTAGTAGCCTCGCGGAGAGCAGCCGCAGGGGACCGGCGCGAGCACGAGGCGGAAGTCGGCGAGCGGGGAGACGGTGGGAACGCCGTTGGCGTCCGCGACGGCGGCCGGATCGGAGCCGAGGAGGTAGGAGATGGAGACGGCCGTGCCGTAGTGTAGAAGGACAAGTTATGGCTGTGCAATCGCGATGTATTGATCGGTGCACCAGGCACGTATATATAAGTACAGAGGTGGGCCACAACCTCAACTATAGAAGGAAAACAGAAGGTGGGCCCTACACACACATATACACGTACACAATATACTCAACACCCCCCCGCAGTCGAAGCGGCGCCAGTGACGCAGAGACTGGAACGAAACTCCTCAAAGGTGGAAGTCGGCAGTCCCTTCGTCATCACATCAGCGAACTGCTGAGCAGTCGGCACATGGAGAACCCGCATGCGTCCAAGAGCCACCTGCTCGCGCACAAAGTGAATGTCCAGCTCGATGTGTTTCGTCCGGCGATGATGAACGGGGTTGGCGGAGAGGTACACCGCAGAGACGTTGTCGCAGTAGACAACCGTAGCCTGGGAGACATCGTGATGTAGCTCCTGAAGTAACTGTCGAAGCCAGGTGCACTCGGCGACAGCGTTGGCCACAGCTCGGTACTCAGCCTCCGCGCTAGAGCGCGAAACCGTGGGTTGTCGCTTGGACGACCACGAGACGAGGGAAGGACCGAGGTAGACGCAGTAGCCAGAGGTGGACCGACGAGTGTCGGGGCAGCCAGCCCAGTCTGCATCGGAGTAAGCCACCATCTCCAGAGAAGTGGACGCCGTGAGTGTCAACCCAAGGGACATCGTGCCGCGGATGTAGCGAAGGATCCGCTTCACGAGAGTCCAGTGAGAGTCACGAGGGGCGTGCATGTGGAGACACACCTGCTGGACAGCATAGTGAAGATCCGGTCTGGTGAGAGTCAAGTACTGTAGGGCGCCGACAATAGACCGGTAGAACGGAGCATCCGACGCAGGCGAACCCGCAAGAGCAGAAACCTTGGCCTTCGTGTCAACAGGAGTAGCAACCGGATGGCAGTTGAGCATGCCAGCGCGCTCAAGAAGCTCATGGGCATACTTCTGTTGATGAAGAAAGAAACTGTCCGGACGCCGAACGACCTCAATGCCAAGGAAATAATGGAGAGCACCCAGGTCCTTGATAGCGAACTCGTCACGTAGCCGGAGAGTAATCTGCTGAAGAACGGCTGCGGAGGAGGCTGTCAGGATGATGTCGTCGACGTAAAGCAGCAAATATGCAGTCGTGTCACCGTGGCGATAGACAAACAGTGAGGCGTCCGAGCGAGTGACGCTGAAGCCCAGGTTCTGAAGAAACCCGGCGATCCGCTGGTACCAGGCGCGGGGTGCCTGCTTGAGCCCGTAAAGAGAGCGCGATAGCAGGCACACATGGCCGGGGAATGAGGCGTCGACGAAACCGGTGGGTTGCTCACAAAACACCTGCTCCTCAAGATGGCCGTGGAGGAAGGCGTTGGAGACATCCATTTGGTGAACGGGCCAGCCGCGAGAAACGGCGAGCTGGAGGACAGTGCGGATCGTGCCCGGTTTGACAACCGGGGCGAACGTCTCCGTGAAATCAACTCCAGCGCGCTGGCGGAAACCGCGGACCACCCAGCGAGCCTTGTAGCGCTCAAGTGAACCGTCTGAGCGGGTCTTATGACGGAAGACTCACTTACCGGTGATGACGTTGGCGCGAGGAGGCCGGGGAACCAGAGTCCAGGTGCGGTTCCGTTGGAGAGCGTCGAACTCTTCCTGCATCGCCGCAAGCCAGTGAGGATCACGGAGGGCGGCGCGGGCGGACGCAGGAATGGGTGACGGCTCCGCGGCAGAGGCGGCGAGGACGTACTCGTCACGCGAGTAGCGGAGGCTCAGGCAGTGAATGCCGGCGCGAGCACAGGTGACAGGGCCGGACGGGGCCACCGGTGCCGGCGAGGAGGCCGGCGTCACAGCCGGCGTCGCGGCCGGAGATAGAGCCGGCGAGGCGGCCGGTGACGGGGCCGGCGAGACGGCCGGCGGCGAAGCCGTCG